CTAGTCACACCCGAACCTTGTTTCCCTAAAATAGCTTTAACAAAAGAGTGGTATGCTGTAGGCCCTGAGAAAATAATGGTGCCCAGAGACAGAGAGACCATCGCTGTGGCTGGTAAACCCAGCTGGTATCCCTGCCGCTGATGATCGACATCGTGAATCAAATTAGCTGTAACATTGAAGGTAGCCAGTTGGAAGTTAGGTGTAGTTATAAGAAGGTATCAGCAATGCTTTTTATTTATTTATTTTCAAAATTGATACATAATTGACATATAACATTGTATTTGTTTTAGGTGTACAAAGCAGTGCTTTTATAAAGAAAGGAAATATATAGGAAACTCAAAAACCTTTTCTAGAATGACCTGTAGCAGATACTGTAGTTTGGTTAACCTGTGACCCTGAATATCATTGGGACTGAGGATTTTAATTTTGCTCACTCTGCATTTAGAAAATTTGTTAATTACTGTTTATTAATTATAATATGATAAAGTTGAGGATCTTTCCTTCTCCCTTTTTTTTTGGCCACGTTAATTGAAGGACCATTATCTTCAAAAGGCACATATTGACCTAAGCCCGTGTCTTCATTTCACCTTTGAAAACACTAGCTTTGTTTTCCTGGTTTGTAATGAATAGTTAGTGGGATAAACACGGTATGGTACCTTGTTATCCTGTTACCTTGTAACAACATTTATAGGATGTCTTTTATCAGACTAAAAGAAAAGATTTTACTTCAAATAAAAAACTCTCTTGTGAAAGTGGAATTGCAAAGTACACTGCCAAACCATAATTGTCAACAAATTGGATACATCCAGGCTTTGTTCCTGATGTTTGTCATGTGTGACTGTCCCTGCATCTCTTCGGCAGTGAGCCCATCATTTGGCAGAGCTGGTACATGGTCAGCACTGTTCATCCTAGAAGTGAACGTCTCAAAAGCCTCATCTGGATATTTTGGTAGAGGCCTGAAGACTTCATAGTTAAGTACATAGAAAAAAATTCCCCCTATAATGACTGTGTACTTGAACTTGATAATACTGATAAAGATTATCTCTCTTTTGTGTTATCAGCCACACTGAAAAAAATCTTCAGGAGTTCCTAAAACTGATCAGGGCCTATATCATCCCATTCCCTGGGATGCAGCATGACAATCAAATGCTGCTGAATGAAGGCATCAATGTCAGAGCCAAAAGGGACCTCAAAGGCTAAGAAGTCCACCTCTCCCATTTTACTAAGCATCCTATGTCAGTGCGTAGCATCTGTGGCACCAGTAAGCCCTCAGTCAGTGCTCACTGTTAATGTCACTGCTCAAGGTCACAGAGTTAACTCTCAACAGGACCAGGAGTAGAAGTTAGCTCCAATGCATCCTCCAGTGCTGTGTTACTCTGGCCTGTTTTTCATCGTATATGTCACCATCTGATATAATCTAGCGTATCTGTTGGTTTGCTTTCGTCTGCGTCCCACCACAGAATAAGCTCCACAAGAGCAAGGACTCTGTCATGTTGTCCTGCCTGTGTCCACAGCGTGGCGTATTGGAGGCATTCAGTGAGTAGCTGTTGAATAAAAGAATAAATTTAGAGGGCCACAGATAAAAATGTTAAGTAGTTGAGAACGGAAAGGAAAAGAAATTAGCATTCCTGGAGCACCTACTTTTTAAAGATGCTTCATATATATGTTATCTCAGCTCATGCTCACTACAGCCCAGTGGTTAGAAAGCACTGCTCTTTCCATATAATGGTGAAAAAAGAGGCTCAGAAGATTTGGTAACTCAGACCTGTCTGACTTCAACAGCTCACGCTATTTTCACTAGCACAATGCTTCTCAATTAGGTCAGTTCTAAGAATTTTCATGAAAAGTACCTTTATTCTAAATGTTGGCTGATCCCATGATATTTATTTTTTCATGATTAAAAAAACATTCTAAAGAAAAGCATGCTGGCGGCTAGAGCCCCTGTACGTTGCTGAAAGGCAGCTTGGAGTGGCAGACATAGCCTTGGACTTGGACTTAGAGGACCTGAGGCAGGGCCAGCCATTGACCCATCATAGAGGCTGAGCCTTACTGCCTCATCCATAAAATGGTCATGTCAACAGCTCCTGCTCACCTGACAGTGGGTAAGAGATAATGTATGTAGAGCACCTGGCCCTTAACCACTATTTATTGTTGCTATTTCTATCAGTGTTGTCATTATTACTAGTAATCATAATATATACATACTTTTCTCAGTAAAGGATGTCTTTGGTCCAACCTACCGATGCAGTTAGGGGGCCCATGCTCATAGATTGGTTCCACCTGAGTGTGTTGCTTTAGCTGGGACCCAGATTTTCCATTCCATATTCACAGACTGCCCAACCAGCTTCTCACTGAACCACATGTTTGGTCAACACAAGGAGCTTGTCTTGAGAGAGTGGATGGATTAGGTCAATCCATAACCACTTTTGGAAAAATAACTTGATAATAGTAGTAACTCATAATAGTGTTATAGTGCCTTTCACATTTTCTGGGTGTTTCCATGTGTGTTAGCTCATTTTTCCTCATGCGTATAAGACAAGTAATATACTTTGTGGGAGCAACTCGACTTGCTTTCCCTCAGCTTTTGCACATCCCCGGGGATGTTACCTTTGTGTGGCTCACTGTCTTCAGCTGTGAAATGGAGTAATAACAGTTTACAACTCATCGGGTTCTCAGAAGATTAATGAGCTAACATATGTAAAGTGCCTAGAGCAGTAATTGACACATAAGTGCTCAGTATTAGAAGCTGTAGCAGAGCCCGTGTTTTCTTTCTTATTTTACTTTTTAAGTGTTCTGGACGAAACTATCATATATATTGGGTATCTACTAAATGCAAGGCTCTTTCACATATTGTATTCTAATTAATTCTTACCTGAGACCCAAAAGAAGAAACTTGCTCAGGACCACCCAGCCAGCAAGTGGTAGAGCTGAGATGAAACTCCAGGCTTTTGTTTTCTAACCGTCCGCTTTTCCTAGGATGCTACACTGATACTCATGTACCACTTGACAATCTTGGAATAGTGATGTCTTTAGGGAAATATTGTACTTTACAAGCTTTAGAGAATATGTACATACCTCAGGCTACTTTTTTAAAACTAATATTACTGACATTTTGCCTGGCACTTGGAATTATTTAAAATAATATCTAAAACACCTCTGTAAGTTTAATTCAACAATATTAAACTGAACTTTATGGAAGAACGTAATTGAGTAAAACTTCTGGCACTCAATCACTGACCATTGGAGTTTGTTTGCATCCTGGTCTTTTTCCAAATCACTTAGAGATCTTGGGTTTTGAGGCTAGCACTCATCTGCAATTCATGGTACCATTATGTTTCACAGCTGAAAGGTTGCTCTAAGCCAGTACTTCTCAAACTTGTTAAAGCACAGACTGCTGGCCTTATCCCAGAGCTTCTGAATCAGTAGGCTGAGGAGGGGCCCAAGAATTTGCATCTTTTTCCATGCGATGCTAATACTTCTGGTCTAGGTACCACATTTTAAGAACCAGTGCCCTAGATCAGGAGTTGGCAAACTTCTGTAAAGGGCCAGATCTGTCACAGCAACTCAACTCTGCCCCTGTCGCTCAAAAGCAGCATAGACAATTGGAAGCAAATGAGGGTAGCTTTGTTCCAATAGTCTTTATTTAGGAGCACTGAAATTTGTATTTCACATAATTTCATATATTACAAAACATTGTTTTTCTTTTGATTTTTTCAACAATTTATAAACATAAAAATCACTTTTAGGTGGCTGGACTGTATAAAAAACAGGCAGCAGGCCAGGTTTGGCCTTCGGACTGTAGTTTGCCGACCCCTGACATGCAATTATGATGTGTTGGGGATTTTTAAAACCACTCTTTTCATTATAAAAGTTATGCAAGTGTTTTTTAAAAATCTAACAGTATAGAAGAAAATAAAATGACTCAAGAAGCCTTCGTCCCCAGCCCCAATCACATGTCCCAGAAGTAACCAGTATTGATGAACATCAATTTTCAGAAATATTATAGGCATATTCAAGCTTATATAAATATATAAGCTCTTTTTACATTAATGGGCATCTTATACATATTGTTCAGCATTTGCTACTTTCCTAACAGTGTACTGTGACTTCTTTCCATATCAATACTTAGAGATGATTTCGCTTATTCCCTTTAATAGGTCCATAGTTTTCTGTTGTGTAGATATACATTTATTTCTATTTAACTGGTTGAATATATTTAGCCAGTCCCCTACTGATGGACATTTGGGTTATTCCCCATTTTTTTCTGCCACAAACAATGCTGCAGTAGGATTCATCTTCATAGATCCATCATTGTATAATGTCTGCAAGGGAAAGTCTTAGGAGAATGAATTGCTGAGTCAAAGGATATGTGCATTCAAAATGTTGATAGATATTTCAAAATTCCTGTTGTGCGTAATTTAGGACCCTATATTCATTTTCTTTCAGGGTTACACCCTACATTTTTGCTATCTAGCCTTTATTTGGCTTGAGCGTTCATCACAGTGAATTTCAGTATGATGCCTCGCTGCACATGAACTTAACACAGAGTAGTAATCCGATCGAGGGCAAAAAGTGCAGCTGGCAATTTGTCCATGATTCTTCACGGCTTTAAAGAATGAAAAGCCACCCAAACAGTGCCCTAAATCTCGGGTCATCCAGGACATTGCTGCGGAAAGTACCACAGCAGAAATCGTTCTTTTTATAGACCTGGTGCTCAGCAGATGTTTCTATATGTTTGTTTCCCATTAGAGTAGAGTTTTCCATTGTCAAACATTTATGTAAACATAGTATTAGCTAATAAATATGCTGTGCTACTATTGTATTAGAACTGAGAATACCACTGCTTTTCTTTCTGTTTGGGGTTTTTCCTTTTTGAGCCAGTAAAGGATTAGAATAATGATTTAATAGTCAACAATGCAACATCTTAAAATGTAGCATTATGTTAGCTTTGTTTTTTGTTTGTTTTTTTTTACTTAAAATATGTCTCTTTCTGCTCCTAGGTTGTCATAGAATCTTCTCTTCATCACTCAATCATATCTACTTACACAAGCAGTCAAGCAGTCAACAAAGAAGAAATTTCTTTTTCCGGAGACAAAGAGATATTTCACACAGTATAGTTTTGCCGGCTGCAGTTTCTTCAGCTCATCCAGTCCCTAAGGTACTGTATCGCCTATTATCTGCTGCTTTTTCCAGCCAAGATAAAGGTTAGCTGCAGAAGCAATCAAATGTTTTTGCACCTTTGATTTCTAAGCTATTTGAATCACAATTTTTAAATTTGGTTTGTGATTGTAAATTGTAATTTGAGAAGTTTTAACATGCTGCAGTTCTATAATGTTAATTTTTTTAAATAAAGAGCTGAGCTTACAACTGCTTAGCTTACTTAGAATTAAAATTCCCACCATGCAATTTTTTATATTAAATTTTTAACATAAAGATAAAACTACATGTATGTAGTTTTTGTAGAGTTTTAGAGAAAAATTGGACTATAAAACTGGGATCATTCAGGAGAGATTACTTGAAACTAATACACTAGGTGTTTCTTCCTAAAGCCTGCTCTTGTATTTTTCATGTTATTAATGCTGCTGTCTTTGAATCTCCTTTAGAGTAAACTAAAGAAAACCTCTTGTCTCAGCATTCTTGACTTTTTTCTAGAGATTACAATTCTGTGGAAAGAGAGTCCATCCTTTTTAAAAATGCAATATACAGGAAGTGTGCGGGTTATTTAGGAAGAATGAGAATAGCTGAAAGAAATACAGATTTGTCACAAAAATCATCTGCTTTCTCCTTTATACGTTTTTTACACTGAACCCATACTAAGGGTACTGTACTTCCTGAAGGTGAGTGACTCATTTTTGTGGCAAGGGCTGACAAGACAGGCCACCAGAGCCTAAAGTATGTTCCTCGTATTTACTTAGTTAGAAAAGAAAAAGAAGTCTCTGGAGAGGGGAATGTATTGTTTTAGAATTTCAGTGACAGCCCAATGGCTCTTCTGCCTGTAGTTGTAACCTGGCCAGATCACGAAGCAGACAGGAGCACAGAGTCTATGGGGGAGACTGGGAGCTTTTGTGGACACTGGGGGAAAGCTGTAGGTGAGAGATGCTCATCCAGAGCTCAGCTGTGGCAGCCCGAGCAGTGGCATTACCTATGTCACAAAGGCCTGTCTAACACGAGAAAGGTGAAGGTCCTTAAATCCTGCCTGATGCCCTTCCAGAGCTGCTGTGATGTCAATTGAATAGTGATTTCTCTCTCAGCTTCTTGTCCCCAACTCCTGTGTAGCCTTACTGGGTACTATCAACAATGCTTTACATGGCAGTTTCTGTAAGTAGTTTGTAGAGAGCTGTGCAAAACTTCAGGACTGAGAGAAGCTGTGTGTGTAAATAGTGTTTATTTTCTGAATACTGCCCATGGATTTAAGTAAGCGATGGGGAATGTTCTACAAGGGTAAGCAGAGTTGAATGTTTTGAGTTTGGGGGGATACTTTGTTAGTTTTTGACAAATGATAGAAATGTTCTAGGTATTTTTATGTACTTAAAAAGAAAGAGAAAGAAAAGAAACTTGTTTTTTTTTTATTCTCTAGCCCCTTATTATTTTGGGTACAGTTGCGAAGTGTAAGAAAAGTGTGTATGTAATAGGCTTTGGTGGCCTTGGCAGTCAGCCTTTTACATATATTCATTAAGAGCGGGCGTTGTGAGCTATCCTTTGCATAAATTTTATCTCCGTGTTAAGAAGATGAAAGTGCTCTTAATTAGCCATTTGACAATTTGGAAGCTCCGTTCTGTATTTCATCAATGACAGTTCGCTTCCAAAGGGGTTGGGAGAAGGAAGAAAAGAAAACTACTGTTTGTTTTGCCCAGAAGCCTACTTCGGCCCAGTTTGACTCAAAGCCCACAAGGTTAGCAGACCGGCTGAGGCAGCACTGGCAGCAATGTTAAGTTCAAAAGGGCAGGGGAAGGAGCTGGGGCCGCCTGGAGGCCTGTCGTGCTGGCTGCGGAGGTCGGCGCTCGGCAGGAAGGGCAGAGCCCCATGAAGCAGGAGGCTGTGTCCGAAAAAATGATCCCATTGTCGTGCGCTGGGTTCTGATCTTCATTTTCAATCCTTTTTCCTCAAGCACATAAAGAAGCCAGACTATGTGACGACAGGCATTGTGCCCGACTGGGGAGACAGCATAGAAGTTAAGAATGAAGATCAGATTCAAGGGCTTCGTCAGGCCTGTCAGCTGGCCCGTCATGTCCTCCTCCTGGCTGGGAAGAGTTTAAAGGTGGCGTCTCCCCAAACCACAGGGCGCACATGAGGCGCAGCGAACCCCCTTGTTTTCCTCTTTCCCTTTACATCTTTTGTACACATCTAATTTGTTAATAATTAAGTAAAGTGTTGGGATGGGGGAAAGGGATTGCAGTATTTTATGTATTTACTCAAAAGATCATTTAAAATCCAAGCTCAATTTTAAATAGCAGAATTCTCGAGATGCTTTGGGCTCAGTCAGCCTATGCGAGTTAATCAATGGCAGCCAGCTTTGACTTCTGCCCCCTTCCTCCTGCCTGTAGTTTATGCTTTTATTCCCCACATTATTTCCGTGTGCTTGAAGAGTTGCTTGCCTCCGCCTTTGTCTCCTATTCTCTTTCAGTAGCTCTGCAAAGAAAGATCACCAGATACACAAAGATATGGGTAATAGAGCAATGTAATTATGTGCAACTGTCTTACTACAAGATTTAGTTCTTTCAGAATAATCTGAAACACTCTGCTATATAAGGATCATAAAAGAAAATGTGGGCCTGTAGTTTCCAGAAGGTGGGCAGAATTTTAGAAGTGAGACTCAACAGTGAAATCACTTAGGGTGTCAGCTGTGTCATAATCTTGTTATAGCAACATAACTAAGCATAATGTGAATATAAAATAATACAAAGAAAATTATTGAAGAAACAGTTAATTTTTAATAAAATATTTTGTTTTAGAATTTTATTCATGATTTATGAGTTTTGAAGATAGACTTCGTGTGCTCACCAACCTCGATTATAGTTTTCTTTTAGTTTGGCAGCAATTGGATAGCTTTTAGTAAGAGAAAAATATTTTTAAAAAGCACTGACCTATTTAAATATAAAAGAAATCAAGATCAGTGAAAATGATATCTGTAAAAAAATGTATCAGACTCAGTTTTTTAAATGATGATCCATAATCTCCATGCCATTGTAACGTTCCTCTGAGATATAAAGGTGTGGATTGACCTACTTTTCAAGCTTTGTCATCTAAACTGATGAGCCTTTTGAGTATTTATTTATATGCTTCTGTTAGCCCAGGTTACTAACCATTGAGGGAGAGGAAGGAATTGCCTAAGAACACATTCTTGAAATTTTCAGGCTAAAAAGGAGTCATGTCATTTAATGACTCACAAATTATCTGAAGGATCTTAAGAGTTTAAATTTCCATTTCCTAATAGTCCATAACACCATCATATACTTAAATGATTGTCTCCAAAAGGCACTATCTAGGATTTTAATGTTAATCATAATTAATTAACATTTTGTACTACAAGTTTATCACAATAGATTTATACAGTCTCACCTGGAAGTGCTGTAGCTAAAAGCATAGTCAGTAGATTACAGGAAATGTCTTCAACTGTCACTGCACAATTTCTTTATTTAATATTTTAGGTTGACATGACAACTGAAGAGATAGATGCTCTTGTTCATCAGGAAATCATCAGTCATGATGCCTATCCCTCACCTCTAGGCTATGGAGGTTTTCCAAAATCTGTTTGTACCTCTGTAAACAACGTGCTATGTCATGGTATTCCTGACAGGTATTCATTGCTTAATAACATATTGTTCCTTTGGAAACTAAAACATGAAACTAAGATCTCTACCATATGGTGAAAGACACTATTGTTTAATTGAAACCCACCTGCAAACTTTTGAAGCTGATTATAGTAAAATAAAAAATTTGAAGTATTTTGCCTCTAAGTGGATGTGATACCCCCATTTAATGTTTGTTAAAGCAGTATTTAATCCAAAAAAATAGTTGTGCATTAAATATTTCTTTTATCTCCTTAGATTTTAACCATATAAATGGTAAAAATCCAACTATAGATAAATATTGGTTATCAACTATTTTTTGACTCTTTGCAAAATTAAGGTAATTAATAATTACACTTTTAAAAGAATAGTAGACTTTTATAAATGGCAGTATGTTAATATTATATATTTCTTGTAAAATCTGATGTGACTAACAAAGCTAAAGATTAGATATAATTATTCCACTTATTCCTCCTCTACTCTGAATTTTCATTGCAACTCATGGGGTTTGCAATAGTAGTCATTAGGTATTTATTTTTATATTTCTTTTATTGAGATCTATCACCATTTTTTCCTGTTTATGTTTCAGTCGACCTCTTCAGGATGGAGATATTATCAACATTGATGTCACGGTGAGTAAATCGTATAAAAAATAGTCTTTGATCAACTTCAGAATTGCTGGTAGCAACAGGAAGAAGAGTGGACTGAAAATGTGAACTGCACCGATGGAAGTGCTGTTTACTCCTAGACCCAGACGCAAGCAGCTGGTTTCCTTTTTTGTCTTTAACTCTGTGTTTATTCCAAGTAAACCCAGGCCTGACTTGAATTTAGGGCTGGAATCAGATGCACTGAGATCAATGTTGGCCTAAGTGAAATGTCAACCCAATCCTGCTATGTGTCATGTTTTTGAGAAGGTGTAATTGTTATTGATCCACTGTGTAGTTAATGCAGAGCACCACCGCACTGGGCAGCTGCTGAAGCTAGATATGTATGAGATGAGCTAACGCAAAGAAAGCCAGCATTTTTCCTTCACTCTGCCAAGATTGATCTTCCTCTTCCTGCTGATTTTGAGTGTGGCCTGTCATTATCTTACTCTGTCATTAGAGGCTACGTTGGCCTGTGTGTGTCAGTCTATTTGGACAGCAACTCTTTTGCTAGCAGTGTTCTTAGATTTATGAAAATCCCTGAAGGTAGCGCCGTGTTCCATTTCTGGTACAGAGAGCCTTGAACTCAAAGCATACCGGCAGAATGGATTTCTCTCTGAACTTAAGTTTTCACCAAATGGTTAATAGCCTTTCTTTTAAATAACAACCCAAAATAATTTAACATAGGAACTTCCAATTGTACAAGCTCTAAACGTTTTCTAATAGTCTTAGCCCTTGACTATTCTCAGACTTGGCTTATTTGTGCTTTGGCAATTCATTTTGCTAAAACGTTCAGTAATGATACCTTTGGATTATGTAGATTATAAATAAATTCTATACATCTGATGATTAATAAATAAATTTTAAATATAATTTAAACATCTGATGAGAACTAGTTGATATAGACAGTATTCAAGAAATACAGTTTCTATTAATAAAGAAATCTTTTTTGCTTGAATTTTTTATTGAATTTATTGGGCTGACATTGGTTAATAAAATTATATAGGTTTCAGGTGTACAACTCTATAATGCATCATCTGTATATTGTATTGTGTGTTCATCACCCAAAATCAAGTCTCCTTCCGTCACCATTTATTCCCCCTTCACTCTCTTCTACCTGCCCCACCCCCCTTTCCATCTTGTAATCACCATGCTGTTGTCTGTGTCTATGAGTTTTGGGTTTTTTGTTGTTGTTGTTAATTCCTTCACCTATTTCACCCAGTCCCCAAAGTCCCCTTCCCCTCTGATAGCTGTCAGTTCTCTGTACCTATCAGTCTGTTTCTATTTTGTTCTTTAGATTCCACATGTAGGTGAGATCATATGGTATCTGTCTTTCTCTGACTGGCTCGTTTCAGTTGGCATAATACCCTCCTGGTCCATCCACGCTGTCGCAAAAGAGAAGGCTTCCTTCTTTTTTACAGCCTGGTAGTCTTCCACTGTGTAAATGTACCACAGTTTTTAGCCACTCATCTACTGATGGGCACTTGGGCTGCTTCCAGATCTTGGCTCTTGTAAATAGTGCTGCAATGAACATAGGGGTGCAGAGGAAATATTTTTAATAATAGTTATTCTATGTCCAGATAATGAAACCTAGGTAGGAGTGGAAATGAATGAGGTGGAAATTGGCATCCAATAGTTGAGTTCAGTCAGATTTCTAGTTGTTCAAATTAATTCAACCTTTCTTCTTCATATCAGTTTGTGTGAAGATATAGCCAAAGATTCTTTTATTGCTAATACTCTTTTCTATATTATTTTGTCCTATTTAGAATACTTGAACATTTACTCTACACATATTCTGTTCATATCTTTCCAACTCAGAATCATGTAGAAGGAGGTATTTTATGAAGTATTTTTCATGATACACTTTTCTTTTGGATTGTACCTGATTTGGGGGTTTTACATTTGTTATCTCATCTAAATACCCCATAATAAAACATTGCTGCTTTGAATGAAATCAAGCATACTCTTCCCTACTGCTTTCAGTATGTTCAAAGAGAATATTCCATGCCTTTTCTAAATTTCCTGAAGACTTTTAAAACACACTTCCATTTTTAACATTCAAATAACTTCATAATTGCAAAATTCATAAAACAAAGTGAAATATTTTCAAGTGTCTAGCAATGTGATGGTGTCAAGGAAACATATAGGTTAACATCTTAACAAATTGTATTTCTTGTGAAATATTTTATTAAGTGAAAGACCCCATTATTAGATTCTGTATTTTATTAGAAAATACTCATTGCATTTTATAATTGTTTATGTCTAGTATATATCATAAGAAAATAAACTTCTTTTTTCCTTGAAAGTTGAATGTTAAAAAATAGACTATGCAATGTCCATAGTAGTTGCTCAATAAATATCTGTTAAATAAACGAAGTACAAAACAAGAATAGTTTGTAGGTACAAACAGTAATTATAGATAACTGTCACAGACTTTCAGAACTATTGTTATTGCCATATATATTGACTCTTTCAAGTAGTCATTTTGAAAGCTAGCAAAAATAATATGAAAAGGCAAAGATTTTTTAAAATGCATTTTTACTTAAATAGCAGTTATACAAACATTCAGAGTTACAAAATTTTTAAATAATTACTCTTTTATTAGTAAATGTTATATACTTGTATATAAAATTTAAAATTGTACTTTCTTGGATTGCAAGTGGGAATTAATAAATGAGTAAAACACTGTTCTATTGTAAGGTAATTAAGGTACTTTGATACAGTAGGACAAAACACTGGATCAGAAGCCAATAATCCATCATATTAATCTGGATCTACCTCTATATTCTGCCACTAACCTTAGACAAGTTACTTGTCTACCTCAGTTTCCTGACTTTTAAAATGAAAACATAATAAAGACTTTTCCTGCTTCCCTCACAGTGTGTGGGAGAGTATTTTTATTAAATGCAGAATTGTAGAAATATTTAAGACATTAATTCACTATTAAAACAGACAGAAAGCTCAGATAAGTATTTTTATAATAGTTTCTGCATTCTACTTCATGAGAAAGAAATGTGAAAAATAATTGCACAGGGCAGATTTATGCAAAATGGCAAGTTTCATGCTACATCAATGGATCAATATTCAACTAGTCTTCTCAGCCTTTTATACCTATTGTAGTGTTTGGTAATTATTGATTTTTATAATGAATCTGGTATCTTTCAAGATCCTCCAGGGACTGCTGAATCACTGAAGACTGATAAACTTATATTTTTTATAATTTTATTCTTAACACCATTTTCTTATATTCTAAGTTTTAAATATTGATATGTAGTCTTTTCTGTTAATGTTCTGCTGTCTGGAGCATTCAATGAAGATTTCACTTCCAGGCAAGATTTTTCATTTCTATATTGAGCCACTTCAGTTCAGGCTAAATTCTCCTGCTGTCTGGAATAATATTGATATGTCCATCTTATTTCCTCTTGTCATTATCTGTGACTTCCAAGTATAGAACTGGTAAATAGGAGAATGAGTTTGTGACATCGAAGTAACTTTTCACTGTGTTAAATATTTCCAGGTTCTCTAAACCTATTGTAATAATGGCGGGTCAGTGTCCTTGGTCACTAAAATTTGCATATGTAGTTTTGTCTTCTCAAAAATAAAGTGAGGAATTAAAATGTTACTACAGCATTGCTAATTATAATGCTGAAATAGCCACACTAGTCATTTATTTTAAAATTGTGCACTATTATTGCATGGGCTTCATCTTTTAAATTTCTGTAAGGCTCAGCATATCTATTTCTTTTTTAGTAGGTAAACTTAAGAGTAATTCTGGAAGGGTGAAACATATGAATGCACTAAATACATAAATGAGTCCAATGTATACTTTAGAAGAGTAGATTTTTAAATAAGGTCATATTTTTAAATTTCTGCCTGTGTTTAGGTCTATTACAATGGCTACCATGGAGACACCTCTGAAACATTTTTGGTGGGCGATGTGGATGAATGTGGTAAAAAGTTAGTGGCAGTTGCCAGGAGGTGTAGAGATGAAGCAATTGCAGCTTGCAGAGCAGGGGCTCCCTTCTCAGTAATTGGAAACACAATCAGGTAAGCCTTACACTGACAAGTAAAAGGAGGGTTGGCAAATGGTGCAAAGGTTATTGGGGGCTTGGTATAAAGTTGATGACATGTTTTATGATTCAGAACCATCATTTCAGTCTGATATCAGTATGTGAACTGCCAGGCTGCAATGCTGTTCCCTGGGTTAGAAGAAGAAAAAAAAGATTTTTTAAAAAGTGAATTATAGCAGGGTCGGCAAAGAAATTTATAGAAGCAGCAAGCAATATTTGTTGGACTGCTTTTGTTTTATCTTGACATGTTGGTCTGTAGTGTTCCTTCGCTCAAAATCACACCAAACATGGCAGAAAGCACCCAAGAAAGGGCTAAGCAGCCTAGCACTTGGATAATGGGACGGGAGAAAGCTAAATTTTATAAAGGAATGAAGTGAACGCATTCCTGTGATACAGGGGTAAAAGCGTCAGCCCAACAGATTAGTGGATTAGCAAACAGCCTGAAAGGGTGATCTTCTGTCCTTTTTGGTCTGGTTCCTTTTTCCTTGTAAACCATTGTTTACTTTCCACACTGCATTTGTGCTTGCTTTTTGAGTGTATGTGCATTTTCTGAATTCAGGATTTTGCTCTGTAATCTGTCACTTACTTTTAGATTTTTTTTTTTACCCCATAACTGTTTTGAAGTAGACATGCAGAATATATGGGGTTTTTTATTTAAAAGTAATGCATTTTGTTAAAGGTGACCACATCAGTACCTTTTAAAGTACTGTTCTTATTAATATGAACCACTGAGTGCTTCCCATTTGTCTGAAGAATGGACAACTTAGTCACCTTGAAAAGATGCTGCCTTTTTTCTTCATAAGCCTTCAAATGCTTTAAGAAAAAAAGGCAGTAAAATATCAGTTAAATGTATTTATGGCTTTAAAAATATTGTAACAGTGTCTGGATCAAACTTTAGTAAAATCTCTTTGGGTTATATCTGAGAAGCTTTTATTGAAGACTTTGCACAAAATTGTGTTTTTGACAGTTTTAAATTATAGGCTAACTAGCCTGGGAAAAAGGGATAGTGTCTCTCTGTTCTTTCATAGGAAATGTTGAATCAGACCCCTACTGGGAAAAGAAATTTAATGCATATCTCACTATCTTCCTGTCCATGAATATAATAGAAACGAATTCAAAATGCAGTTTTATTTTTGCAAATGGGATGAGTCGATAGATGTACCTCATATTTTTGAACACCTAGGGTTCAACAAATTTACTGGTGGTGCTCTTGCATTTTAACAAAATTTATTCTTCAGTGGAAGGGGGCAGAGAACACTAGGTTCTTATTCAAGCATTCTCTCGAGTCTGCATTCATGGCTGTGTCTAAAGGGCATGTCAGCCTTTGATTCTCTCTGAGAGGTAATTATCCTTTTCCTGTCACGGAACAACAAATGATAGCTAACTACAGAGGCACATTTGCAGTAGTCACATTCATCAACTGCAGGAAAAAAATTCAATTTAATTGTGCGACACAGCTGCACATGGGCTTCTGAGCATTTCTGTTGTTCTCCCTGCCTCGCTATTCCTCCCTCCACATCTATTTTTTAAACTTTTTTTCTGGTTATTTTTTCCCCTTTTTTGTCTCTTCTTCCATTTTTACTCTCTGTACTTTCTTGTTAAAGTAATTTTCCTTTGTGGCTCTCATTCTTTTTTCCCCATTGAAGGCTATGAATGTAGAAAATTATCACAATTACTCATATAATTGAGCCTCTTTGTAGCAAGTGCAACTCCAGTAGCCTTTCTCCATCATGAAAATGGTTTCATTATAGGGTTTTTCATATTCTCTGACACCATCTACACAGAGGAACAGGCGTGCAGATGAGATGTACTAGGAACAGGCTGGATCAGTAAGGTCACAGTAGGAATAATTAGCTCTGCTATGGAAAGAGCATCTAGGCCTTTTACTGCTACATAAATGTACTGTCCGTGGCTTTTAGTCACAAAAAAACTTACTAACAAATGGAGCTCCCGCCTACTACTTTGAAAAAAAGATTTGTATCAACACTACAATTTTCCATCATTAAGACTAATAACACAGAGCCTAGTATACATCAAGGGGAATAAAAAGAAAAATCTCACATTCAAGTGGCGGCTGGGTGCTGACCTTTGTTCCCTTTTTTTGTGTACGACTTAACTGTTTACAAAAAAGAGCCACACGCCACACCAACATGCAGGTGAATTCCAACCAGTGCTAGCAAAGCCTAGCATTCAGTCGGAAAATCTGATAAATCTCCATGTAGGATAATGCATTTCATTACGTATTCACTACATTAATTCTAGATACATAAAAAAAAAAAAAAAAGAGTAGAATTGAAAGTGACATTGGATTTTAGCTCTTTAGATGCAAAGGTCAGTTTTTGCAGAGTACAAATTTGCATGTACCACCTCCTTTGAAAACCAGATCAGTCCCAACAACAGCACTTACAAAACTATGTAAAAAATAACAGACAATGAACTTTTTACTTTTACCCTAATGCATTTCATTATTTAGATGGTTTACGTCTGCCACTGGACAGGAAACTGGCCCGGATTCTAACAAATGTTTGTTCTACTGGGTTAAGGCAATGTTTCTGGACATCTATTATTTCACCTTTTCTTATTTGGGCAGACTCTCAAGGGAGTAAATAAACAAGCAGTCTCCACCTTTATGCCAAAAGTACTTGGAATCATTACAGACCTAAGGTTTACAAACATCTTTCAACTCAGTCTCGCTTATTTTAAGATATTCACCATGTTTTGCATGGCCTCCCTCTACTGATACAGCATGGGAAGAACATTCAAACATCTTTTATTAGTATCCTATTACCAAAAAAGCTAGTGACCTTTATAGGAAATTTTTAAATTCTCTGGAGCCTGAAGGATAGGATGATATCTCTGAAAAAGTATTGGCCAAAATAGTTTAATTAATAGAGTCTTTCTCTATGTGTCCTTTTGTCTCATGAGGGCTGGTGATCTTTAGGTTACAGTGTGTTATCCTCACTGTAGCTCCATTTGCTTCAAAATATTTCTAAATCTGTATTTTTGTAATTATCTCTAGATGGTACGATCTGTACATATGAGAATATTGTGAATGTGTAAATTCATGCATCACAAATATGTGACAGTTCAATAAAAAATAATTTAAACTTATGCTTGTAAATGTCATGATGAAAGTATCAATAAATGGTTTTTAATGTTTAATTCATAAGTATATGTTTTGATATTAATTTAGAAGAATATAAAGCAGATTTTGAAAAATAATCTCTTTCTATTAGATTATGCACATTTAAACAATAAGTGGCTCAGGCAAAATAAGTCATTTTAATGTCATCTGTGATGGATTTTCCTTGACAGCTACTGTAAATTACAATTATACTGCTTCTCTTTGCACATGAAAGTAAGCATTGCAATAAATTATCTTTTATTTCAATCCATCATGTCTGCTTTTCAGAAACAGAAAACCTCAAATAAAAGTTCAGGACTATTGTAAGAAAAATACAGTAATTTGTGATCCAGTTTGAAACAAAAAAAAAAAAATGTACCACTCTTTTAGAAAACAGTTACTGGCTTTCAAAAATATTACTAATTATACTTAAACATTCCTCATCATTAGAGGGAATCCTTGGACTTGTGTATTCCTTCATTAAAAGATTACTTCTTAAAATGAAAATCTGGAAACATGAAGCTAAAATTTCATAACTTAGAATGTCAGGTGCCATTTAAGATCCTTTAATTAGAGATGTGACCATTTAGAGAGTAGTGCTGTTTATAGGATTCATGTAAAAATGGTAATAAAACTATTTCCATGTGCATTTTTATTTTGTTAGAAGAGAATGTACTTAAATATTGTACTCCTCTGACCTCTTAGGGAATGTATTCCTAGTCATAAAAATGTAGTTGAAATATATTAAGAATTTTAATTTATCCAGACAATACTTCAGTTGAGGGAAACTGCCTCATGAAAGGGAATTAAACTGAAGAAAATGGTCACAAGATGAAATTCCTTAAGAGAGATTTTTCTTCCAACTACAAACTATAACTGAAACATGAACTGTAATAATACAGTATAATTTAAAAGTAAGTTCACAAACTGCTTTTATAGGTCTTCTTCTCTCCCCTCCCCCCTTTCCCCAAATATCCCATATGGAGGCCTTCAAATTACAGGTGTGCTCAGGCTCAGCAGAAGTGCCCTACTGTCTCAGAGGATTTTTAGTTGGAAAAAAATAAGAAAGTGACATGTCCAACAAGAAGACCCTTGTGCTCAGAAATGGGTCATGGCCCTATGATGACTGGTGTTGGGGAGCACCTGTGGCATTTCCTGGACACCCCTGCCCACCCAGCTGTTTCCATGTTCCCCAACACATCAGTCAAGAGACACACACATGCTCTACACTCCCACGACTAGGGTGACCAGTCCTCTCACGCTGGAGTGGAATTTACTACTACAAGTGACTTGACTTGTCTCTATGAAGTTAGATTTAAACCCTAGAATTAGGTAAATAATCTTGTGCTTCCCATGTATTCCAAATAATGGGGGGGGGGGGGGCTTTTAAATAGCAATTTGGAACATTGATGAGATTTTTATCCTATTTAGTCCCTGTAGGTATGTGTTAAGAAGCTAACTACCAATCCGAAAGGAAAATACTCTGGAAAGCAGACAGAAGGGTATAGTTAGCCCCTGGGAATCGAACATCGAGATGGGTGCTCAACCAAGGAACCGAAGGAAATTGGTCCTGTTCTTTCCACATGGCTGGGAACCCCTCTGACCTTTGCATCCATGACATGTACATTCCATGATACTGCTATTGCCAGAAGTTCCAGCAGGATCCAGGCAGTAAATTGTTGTCGGAGGATGCACTCAGCTACCTTTAACCACCTAGTAATTGCACAGCTCCTTTTATGAAGAGGAATGAGAGGCATGACGGGGGGAAGGACCCCAAGTGTTTTTCAGAGTGGGCTTTCTTCCTGTCCTCTCATTGGAAATTAAAATGAAGATTGCCATTGTAGCACACATTTAAGATGTAGCTGTGATGCCTGCCAATCAGTTAGAGCCTTTTTTACGAAAAAACCTAGTGTTGTGTGTGTTTTTTAAGAAAAGAAAATAGGAGAACAGTTTATATTGAATGCTCTTAGAATCACTGAGATTTGTTGAAACTGAAGTAACATCAGTTACAGATTTAGGTAGAGCCTATTTTTGTAAAAAAAAAAAAAAAATCTAAGTCATTACATCTTATTTAATAATATCTCTCCCACCCCCTATCCACTCTCCATCCCAGTTTCTATTCAGAAATTGTGTGGTACAAATAGAAAAACCTTGAGAAACTTGTTTAACCTCCTGTCCAAAGTGCAAAGACACACAAAAATAACCATAAAGTACAACTTGATAAAAAACATTGACGTATCGTTCCTGTCCTCAGCACATGCATCGCTCACTTATTTCTGTGTTATCAGTTACCAGGAAATTAAATCTGAATGAGAGTCTGCGCATCTGCTGTGTCTAGTGACATCCGATATTTTGCAGGTCTGGAGATGAAGGTTCAGAATGTTGAGAGAAAAGTATATCAACATGCGTGCTCTTAAAGATTCTGGCTACATGCCTTTGAGTTCGTGGTAAACTAAATGGAGGGTCTTTTGGAAACTGCAGTTTGGGATCTCAGAATTTTGGTCTTGTTAACAATTTAAATAGCAGTCCTGTAAATCTCAATCCATGGTTATGGTTAGGGTTCAGGCACTGTGCTCTTCCTCCACATGAAAATATAAATTGTTAATGGTATATATGTCCTTGTCTTTCTGGCACTCCCAGAAATAAAACATATGCACCTAATTTCAAAAACAACTTCTTAACTTCATAGGTGAAGATGTTAGGGTTGGAGTATATGTGCCATATTTTACTTACATGGAAGAGATGGAACCGAAATGATATGCATGTAGAAATAACTAACGAAGCCTTAAGAATTAGGAATCATAATACTAGTTTTTCTTAAGCACCACAGTGATTAAAAAGCATCCTTTTTGATTCCTGTTAATGGTGTGGGTGTTGAGAGGAAATCCTAAGTAATCACAAAGTTTCAGAGTATTTGAAGAAGATGGACAAAGCAGATTTGACCTTCTGTGTGAGTGTGTTTGCAAAATGGGTAATGTTTTGAAATAGACCAGCATAAGGGAACTATAGAAGTAAGAAGCCCCATTTCTAGATTATAAATTTCTTTCTCTGTTTGGTTCCCAAATCAGTAGTAACTTGCCCAGTCTTTTTGTGAAGCCCCATACACACCAGGCATGTTAGGACCTGCATTGTACGCACCTGTATCTTGGCTGTATCGATCTCTGTGTGTGTGCATGCACACTCACTTGTCTAAAAGTGGTCTTGTTTGAATGCTGTATGAAGGTCAATGAAGCAAACTACCGTGTTAGATACATACCCTTTTTCTTCATTTATCCAAAGGGAGCTTTATAAGCAATGGCAAAAAACTTAATTTATTCCAGAATAATGAATACATAGTTATTATTTGGCTCTAAATATAACTTGATTGTTTTTCATAGAATATTTTAAAGTGACTTTGTTTTATCTATGTATGCATTTAAAATGTATCTAATTTAATTAAATATTTTGTTTGGTCACTTTTAAAGCCACATAACTCATCAGAATGGTTTACAAGTCTGTCCACATTTTGTGGGACATGGGATAGGATCTTACTTTCATGGACATCCAGAGATTTGGCATCACGGTAAGAACGTTAATTTGGGAGCTGTTTGTTGAGTGGAATCGGGATAAGACAGTTTTGCTCCGGTAGCTCTAACTTTGAATCCACATGATTATCCTTTTGTGTGTGTGGATTCAGAATTAGAATTCAAAGGGTACTTAATCATAACCAGCACATTACTATGTTACTGGATTAGAGCCCAGTAGTTTCAATCCCAAAATAAGCTTTATTTTGCTTTTTGTCTTCTCTTGAAGAGTGATGGCTGGAAGGCACAAGGAATTCTTGTCTAGGAAAAGTTACTGAAAACAAAACGCCACTGCATAGTGTCCCAGCAGCATGCACATATGACTGTTTTCTGTTTTCCTTTTTCTACCCCCCTCTCTAACTGCTGACTGTTGTGGTTAAACTTTATTACATCCTACACAGTGATGACAGCTGATGTATTTAGCAGCATGTACTCTTTAGTGATTTCTAGATTATACCCACCCTGTGTTCCTTCCCCAGAATCTCCTGTTTTTCATGGCCTGGGTGTGCACCCTACAGTGGGAAAGCAGGGGTGGGCCACAAGGTGGTGGGGGGGGGAGATTGGGGTTAGGGTAGGAGGCAGTTCTTTAAAGCGCCCCAGAGACCAAAGGACCCTAGGCAGGTGTGCACCCCTCTTGGGTGCTTGGGGTGGAACAGTCTGGAACTACTACCTGGAACCCATCTCCTCAAAGACCCCTAGAAACACAACAGGCCAGAACTCCCTTTGGGCCAAAGAGCCCCACCTGAGGTCCAGGAGGGAGTGCAGAAAGGGCCTCTTAGACATGTGCCTCACTCAGAGCCAACACTTAGAGTTATTTGAAGTCACCCCTGACCTTGCCACCTACTGCAACCCACACCCCACATGTCTGCCTTCCCTTGCATCTGTTCCCCAAGATGTCTTTCTCTTTGGGGTCGGGTGGATCCCAAGGCCCAGGACCCAGCAAAGCCAGGAGACCACATAGCAAGTGGCCAGGGCAGAAGGGAGTGGGGAGTCCTGACAAGTGTCTGATACACCCAGGCCACCCCTGCTAGGCCTTGACCCCAAATGCAGAAAGTGCAAAGGCTGAGGCCAGGAGCCCTGTGTTTAACCCCTGGTTGTTAGCCAGCACCCAGGATTCTAGAAACCTCCATCCTCTCTTCTATCCCAAAAGAAAAAAATTAAGTTACCAAGTTTTTTGAGCAGCCCAACCCCTCTAATTCTGTTTCTATCCTCTCCATTTCCCTTTCCCACTGCCCCTACCCCATGTTTTATTTTTTGCAGCAAATGACAGCGATCTACTCATGGAGGAGGGAATGGCCTTCACCATAGGTCAGTGCGGGAGATCCTCTTCAGAGAGCCCCCCCCCCCAGTAGGAGCAGCATCCCCAGCCTAGGCCAGGCAGTCCCATGAAGAACTAATAAAGCCAATCAGCATAATGAAATAATTCAGATGCATAGTAAATCTGATTAAATAATATCCTCGAGCTCATCTTCCTAAATCAGATACTTACCGACACATTTAGGAGAGCAGCCCTCCAACAACCTCTAATTCTGTTACCAACATAATGTGGTGTTTGGGTTTTTGGTGTGTGTGTGTGTGTGTGTGTGTGTGTGTGTGTGTGTGTGCGCGCGCGCGCGCTCATTAACACCCAGTAATGAGGCAATCATGTCCCTTGCTCCCTGTTAGCAAGTGGCATGTACGCCCTGGCGGCCCATTCCTGGCTGATCATGTGATTGGTGTCCCTACCAAATTCCAGTCACCTAAGACTAGGAAGGCATCATGTTTCTGACTGTGGGACTTAATGGAGAAGCAATTAGAGTGAAATAAGAAAATTGTTATTTGCTGATTAATGAACATTTTGAGCATGTTTTAAAAATTCAAATATTTTTTAAAACTCACTGGTATTTATGAGAGGGACTGGTGTTTGGGTGGTTATTATCCACGGGGTCCTAATTAAGGCTTGATTAAAATGCCCTTTTTCCTCTAAAAAATTACAAACTAGGCAACTTCATACATTTTGAATGCAGTAACGTTTCCTCTTCCTACTGTTTAGTTTGTAGTATACTATGTAAGCAACATCAATTATCAGCCCTGCGATATGGCAACATGAACCGGTGGGGGAAGTACTTGGCAGGAGGGGGGGGAGGGAGAGAACCTCCTTGCTCTCTTTTTTGATCATCAGTGGAAACAGTGTTTGGCAAGAATCTGATTAGATCACTGCTGTAACTATTTTCCCTCTTACAGAGCCAATCATAACCGAGGGATCCCCTGAATTTAAGGTCCTGGAGGATGCGTGGACGGTGGTCTCCCTGGACAATCAAAGGTGTTTGCTTTCTGCCCCGCTGCTTTTAAATAGTTGGGGAAGGGCAGGGTCGTCCGGCGGCGCGGGCCAGCTGCGCTCTCCGCTCGGCTGGCGCTGGCGCGCGTCCTGACCGCAGCCTCGCGTGTTTCAGGTCCGCCCAGTTCGAGCACACGGTTGTCATCACGTCGGGGGGCGCTCAGATCCTGACCAAACTGCCCCACGAGGCCTGAGGAGCCGCCCCAAGGTCGCAGAGGCTGGGCGCCTTTTCTCCGAAGTTGCTGAAACTCAAGTTGTCCTAAATTGTTGGAGAACTTTTAGAAGAAACGAGCGGGAGGCTGGTCGCGCCCTGGGACCTGGCGGCGCCCGGGAAGCCCGGCGCGCG